CAATAGTGTTTCAACGTACACTCCAAATTTCCCTCAAGGAAAAATATTAAATTTGCCTAAAGTAAAAATCCAAAATGATCCTTTAGCCTAAAGTAGACTTAACGCCTGAATATCCTAATCAACCAAAAAATTAAAAAAAAACTAGGAAGCTCATTCCTAGACCTTCAGACTTCCCCTCACCAGAAAGTGCCTATATTCAACCCACTTGTCAAAAGTCAATAAAAACTCCGACCACACTCAATTTTTGACTCGGAAAAAAAATAATTCGACAAGACAAAATATTTCTCAAATGTTTCTCTCTCAGTCACTTCAACTCCTCAAAATAATAGTTTCAAATTTTTTTTCAATACTATTAATCTTTTTTCAACTCTGCATAATTTTATAATAGAAACCTTTGAAATACCTTCTCTCCTTCTGGTATTTTTTTGTAGTTTTTTCGTATTTTTTCATTCCCTCACAAAAGCCTATCTCAACTTCTCAAAAACCTTTGACCACCTCCTCGGGTACGATAATTCAGCAACTATCTAATTCTTAAGGCATTTGTTCAACAAGAAAGGCATCCTTCTTCTTTTAGTAATTTTTGTCACGTTTCTAGTTTTCCTAATTTTGACATTATGTAAATGTATAAAACAAGCAATAATCACCTTTGTACTAGCAACAATCCTTTTGATCATTTTCATAGAAAAATATTATAAGCAACATAGACTTTAATTACAACAAAAAAAAGTTTTTACAAAATTGCTAATCAACAACCAACACATCGATCCCCACCGACTACGACATCTCAGCAACTTCCGGCAACACCAACGTCTAGTCAAACAATTCAACCCCAATCATCAACACGCGTTCCATTTCAAGAAATTCTCTACACATTTGAAGAAGACACGCGTTACTATCAGAGCCTTTAATACCCTTAGCTCGCCATGCACCTTTAAGCGAACCACAATACGAACCAACATACAATATCTATCCTTCTCTCCAACGAGACCTTAATAGAACAAGACATCCTAGTCAAAACCAAAATTATAAATCTACAATAGAAAGACAAATCATCCGTTCAAGACGAAATAGAAACTTTACAACTCCCAGAGCTCATTTTATTAAACCCACATCACCAACCCCAAATCCTTTGGACCTTTGCAGTAAAACAATTTAAAGTACCCCTCCACCATTACAAACTATTTCACAACAAAACAATCCAAACATACCACCGGACTATTTAGGATCAACCCCCACATCCGAACAAATTCGTGAAAACTCTTTAACCCCCCAATTTCAACACAACGTCTCCTACATTGGATGACACAAGCTTTCACTCAAGGTGAGCCAAACTTGGTAAAGAACCCTATAGATATCTCATCCGATACATCCTTGTCCCTACCAGAAACCTTATCTTTACCTTCAACTCCTTCAACAATAAATCAAACTCCAACAACAACATTTCCACTGAATTTCCTTACAAATGCAGATGATAGATATAGAGAACTTTTAACCAACAATATACATCTACGATCAGATTGGAATACATTCGTAGCACCCCTCTCCCTAATTTGGTCAACATCCTGATTGCAACACGTTACATAATTGGGCCACAGGTTGCAATTCAGACACGATATTCACAAAGACATACAAGAACACAATATACAAATCCTTACACAAGACAATTTAACACTTAAATTTGAAAAAACAGTGAAATTAAATAAATTAGTAACTCACACTCTCTACATAGCTCCAATAAATATAACAGCTCAATCTTTACCTCCCCCGTTTATCACAACAGAAATTATCTTTTAATACGATAGATATACAAAAAAGACACATGGATACATAACATTCTATAACCCATATTCGAGACTATCCTACACATGTATCTTTTAATAATTTTTTTTCTACAAACCCTCTCTCCACTAGTTCTTTTAGAACCAACATCCCATCAAAGTCCTTCCCCTCGAAGAGGACCACAAGATTTATTAGTCACACATTATGACTGTGAAGAAAATGAACAAAAACACTACATAAATACGCCATAAACCAAGTAACTCAAAGCGAATTCGAAGCACAAAAAATAGGAAAAAAGAAACGAATATAGTAGCGCCACTTTATTCGAAAGCCCGAACTAAAAACTTAACAGCATACAAATTCACAGCAACATTTTCAGAGAAAAAAGTACATTGTTCCCAAGTCCCAAATGCAAACAAAAATAGACTCGATCACGAATCTTTCTATCAAAACAACATAGAAAGACTTTATGAAGATTGTAAAAACGAGCTCAACGATTAAAACTAACGGCGCACACGGACATTTAATGTAATGACAATTAACTCACAAAGAATTGTTTAAATAATGATTTTCAATTTTTAACTTTCACTGATGACAACTCTAACTTGTTTTCACTCGTTTCAAACTTTCCTTGCACCCGGTTGGAAGAATTTTTTTAATAAGCTGAACTAAACAACGCAGCCTTTTATTGCCACAACAAAACCACAAACTAATAGCATGACTAAGAAAAAAAGTCCCACGGTAACCAAACCGGATTAAACCCAGATTAAAACTCGATGAATTATTCTTTTGATAGCCACTTTCAATTTTTATTAAAACCAAATAAAACACAAAAAAGTCAAACCACAAATCCAAAACAAATATATTCTTCTTCTACTTTTGAGAAAAATCTACTTTTAAGAAAAGCTTACAACCGAAACAAAAGAGATAAAAACACGTATTGAAAATTTAACAAAAGTTTGAACATTTTAAGAGACTCTGCACAAAGACCATAAAATATAGCCCACTCCTGGCCTCACCAACCAGAGAAACGTCCCGCGCATGCTCTATAGCTGGCCTAACCCACACGCTACAACCACGTTTTGTGACCCACACTCTAATTTTGCCGAGAGTTGCTCTAGGGCGAGCGACGCTTTAAAATAACCAAACTAAAATGAAAAACGCTTTTGCGATAACAATTAATAATAAGTCATAAAAAACTTAACTATCAAGATGTAAATATATAAATGCAGTATGTGAAGATTTCTTAGAGCCCAAGAAACGAGCAGCAAAAAAGATGACAACCCGACAACATTCCAACTCTGGAATGGCAAATCTATTTGGTTTGCTGCCAAAGTCTCGCTCTAAAGTTAATGAAATCGATACATCATTGCATCGATCAGAAGTCTTGACACAATCACCAGAGACTACCCACGATCAACGAGACCTATCTTGAAACACGAACAAAACAGTCTTCTTAGATCTACACAAACAACTACATCTTTCCTCTCTCCAAGAAATCACTGCTCAAAACTTCTAACGAAAACGATATCACCCGTCCTTCACTAGAATAAACAATTAAAAACTAAAAACTCTCTAAGCCCCGGATGGGTGGAACCAGTTTTAAACTAGTATTTATAAACCAATTATATTATTGATAAATTACCTCTGTAAAATATTACTAACTAACCAATCATATTCCATCTCTAACCTTGACACTGATTTGTAAGTACCGAAACTACTTGCAGTTTCAGCACTAGAACAATTTGAATAAATCCTAGAATACAGTTATTCTCCTTCTGGACCAACTCCAAAATCTAACTCGCGAAAACCAGTATACACTAGATCTATTGAGACTAGGAGATATAAGAGTAAGATTAAGTTTGGTATTAGACTAAGAAGTTGCACGAATCTATCCGGCCAAAAATAAGATAGCGTGACGAACAGACAGTGTACCTTATCTGAAATTACTCTATGAGTACAGGCCAAAGGTCATAACTCCATAACTAATTCTTTCCCATTACAAAAGGAGGAAGATTTGTTACAAGGTACAAAGTTCGTGTGCTTAGCCTTTGAATTTGTTCTTTATAGGGTTTCAACTCTATACTAGGTAAGGTCCATAGAGGGGGGAATAATTAACAAGATCAGACTTTCACTCCCAAGCTGCCGATACCCTAAATGGATTACTAAGAGACCTAAAATTAAAATAAGACTGCCTGCTCGTACATCAGAGCGAAGCCCTGAATGTTCCGACTGCCCCTTAATCCATATCGAATAGACTTTTGGGGGGGGGGGGAAATGTTGGAAAACTATAAATTTTGGAAAAGATTATATCATGTGTTAAAATTTGAGTCGTAAAAAATTAATGGGACCGACTAGTTAGCCTCAATTCAATTTGGAACAATTTTGTTGTGCATGGATTTATATTTATACCATTTCGCGTTATACCTTCATGATCATGGATAAAATCTTGACAGTGCATAAATTAGTCCAGAGCATGGCCAAATTGTCAATTTTCAAACTCTTAGAACTTTGCAAAAAATGATCAAAGCCAAATTATTTTTTAAAATTTGATTTCAAGAAGTCAATATCTTCTATGGGGCATAAAATTTTTTATTAAAAACTTTTATTTCGATCAATAAAACTTGATTAAAAAGCCATAACAAGCATAAATATTCCGTTTTCTTCGAAAGTCAAAACAAATAATTAAAATACCGAAAAAAGCAAAATTTTAGAAAAATTAAAGAAATACCCAAAAACCAGTGCTTTGTGCTCTAATAATAGCGGTTGCATCAGGGGCGATCTATGATTTTCTCGAGGAGGGGCAGATTTTCAAAAAAATTTCGAAAATTTTGTCGATCTTCTTTTTTAGGTGGACCAAATTGATTATCCGAGCTCTCCCAAAGCAGTGAAAAGACAATGTTTTGGCCCAAAAATTTCGGCAAAATTAAAAAAAAAACATCCAAAAAAGGCGTTTTTAGGCACTTTTTGGTACATTTTGATTTAAAAAAAAAAAACGTTTTTTTTTTCGGTGCGCCTGTAGAAAAATTGTAGGATACTTCACCATGATGAATATCTCAAAATAGTACAAAGGAAGGACCCTTTGGCTCGGCGGGGGGTCGAATCTCTGAAGGGAAGCGCCCCCCCCCCCCCCCTTATTGTACTATACTGAAGGGTTCTTTCGCCTTCAAATGAGCTGCCCAACTTTGCATTGTATGCTTGACACTTATATCATGTTTCAGACTGCGAGTGAAGTCCAAATGTCTCATGTTCCTCGAGTACTTTCCATTCGACCGACAGCTGTGCGAACTGGAAATTTCGAGCTGTAAGTTCTTTCATCATCAGTTTTCCATTCAACACGGGCTTATGTGGCAACTAAAAGTTTGCGTATCAAAAACCAAAGACTTTTTTTGCGAAAAAGTATTTGTTTGTTAAGGCGATCCTAGCACTATTTATCCGTTTCATTTAAATTTCGCCTTTTTTGAGTACTGTGATAAGTTACAGGAGTTCGTGAAGTGATCTGACACAGTCAAGGTTCTGACGATCAAATCCGTCTAAAAAGCCTCAACTAAAACTTCTAAGTTTTAGAAAAATCAAATTGTCAAATTTTGTTCATTTTAGTCAGTTACGATAATCAAGATATAGTGTTCAAGTGGGCTGAGGACCCCCTGGAGTTCAACGAGAACCTAGTCCTCTCCGAATTTGACTTCCTCGAGCACCGATTCGTAGTGCGACTCTTCAAAATCCCCAGCAGTGAGTAACTTTGCAATTATGCAATTAATCTGTTTTTTCAAATACTGTCGTTAGTGTTTGAAGCTTTAAATGCACCTCAAGCAGGGGCAGATCTAGGATTTTCTCGAGGGGAGAGGCGATTTTGATGAGAACTTTCCAAAAATTTTCGAAAATTTTTTCGACCTTTTTTAGATCGTCCAAATTGGTTTTCGTCCAAATTGGCAAAAATTTGAAAAACAGGTCAAAAAGGCGTTTTAGGCGTTTTTTGGAAAATTTTGACCAAAAAATTGCGTTCAACCACCCCCCCCCCCTTCCTAAATCCGCCCCTGTCCTCAAAAATATCAGTGATGACCTCTCAAACTTATGAAAACAAAACTTAGATTTATCCCGCACTGGATTTTTATGGATAATAGTCAGTTGTTTTAGATTTTCGTTGTCACGTTGTCAGTCTCTATGAAACTCAAAAATAATCGATTATAATCGATTAAAATAGATTTGATAATTTTTCGTAAACTATTCACAGTGCAGCATATTCAAAACTTAAAGTTACTTTTGACTTGAGACACGTTACATCGGATCAGATAAAACGCGTTTTAACTTCGACTTAGAAAATAGTTATAATCTTGTTTTTTGAATTTTTTGGTTGATGTCCTTTGTTCTGTTAGCATATGAAATCGCCACTATTGCCATCCCTACATTTGCAACCCCCACCACACAATTACACCCCACCCCCTTCCGTCACGTTTAAACAGGCGTTGTGGAAATGAGAAGACTTAGATTTCGAGTAGTTTGTGAGTAGTGTAGTTTCTGAACAGTTTACAAAAAAAATGTTATAATCCATTGTAATCAGTTACATTGGAATTTAAATGATTTGAATGGATGGATTGTGCTTTCGCGAAAGACCACTTAGATTTTACTTACACGACTCAAATTTAACAAAGAGGCAAAACGGAGCTTCGCAACACTTGCGCTGCTATTAGAAAATGGCATTAAAAGATATTGATAGCAAATAAGACATGAACCAAAGCCGTTGAACTGAAAAAAAAAATCAATTTATTAATATGAAAAGTCTGATTTGGTAAATTTCAAATTACAGAACAATGGATGTACCTGTTTGATATTTAAAATTGGATGTACCTGTTTGATATTTTCATATTATTTTACTGATGCGGTTAGAATTCTTTAGTTTGAATTTCTTAAAGCCCAAATTTTTAGCTGTTTCCCTTCTAAAATTAGTAATTATCCGATATTGAACGTGAGATACAAATTACCCGTTCTTACAAATGAGCTGAACTCAAAAAAAATTGAACAGGGTAGTGGCTTTTTCCCGCAACCTGGTCTTTTCTTCAAACTCGTGACTGCGAAGCCATTTAAAGCGCAAGCGATCCATTAACCTGCTTTTTAAATTAGTTTCCATACCCCAGATTTGCCAGGGCAGTTTTCGGGAGCAGTGACCAATAATGCAAAACTTTGGAAAACGGCAAAATTTCACAAACTGGACGTCTCTAAGGATATAACTTGTTTTTTCAATGAAGGAGCCACCATTTCTGCAGATAAAAGTTTTGCACGCGGTTAATTTGATTGAAATTCAATCTCAGATGTGGTAAGATGGTTTTTAAGAACAAATAGCAAAAATTCCAAGAAACCGTCACAAAAACAACCAGTTTTGACTTTTTCAAATGTTGAACTCTTTTTTGCAAAAATTAGAGCGTACTGGTTTATGCAGTGAAGAAGTCCACAAGTTTTTTTGATTGCCCTAATAATCAGAGGTTTGGCAGAGTAGTTTTTGCTACGAAAGATCAAAAATCAAAAGTTCTAAAATATCAAAAACTTCGAACTTTTCGGAAGCGCAAAATATTTTGTGTACATAAACTTGGTTTTAGCTTTTTAAGCAGAAAAAATTTCCATAAATAGATTGCTTGGTTTAACTGAAAATCTATATTTTCAGAGGCTCTTTTTTGAGACAAAACAGGCTTGCAAAAAAAAGTCGAACAATCAAAATTTTGACATTTCTGAGGGCCATAACTATTTTTGTATGAAAATTGGGCGTGACCGCTTATGCAGGGGAGTTTCTTGCAATCTGGCTTCCGCTTGAGCACAAAATCTCAGGTTTGGGAGGCAAGTTCTCGAGCAAATGAAGTTTCTAACAAATTGGGTCAACAAGTCTTTCCGCACAATTTTTTGTAGAAAGTGATATAGTAGAAAAAGACTAGAGGTTAAGCAGGCAGACCAGAAAGTGGAGGTTTTTTCATTGGAATTCTTTTTCTTTGAGAATCAATAATGCAGTTTTCTTAGAAAAATAAAAATATTAAAAAAATTAAAATTTTCCGAAGCGTTTTTTAAAAACCTCATACCTTTCATAGTACCTGTTTTTTTTAATCAAAAAGTGAATCGAATCAAAAATTAAAAACCTCATTTTTGGAACGAAACTGCTCAAAAAGCAAACTGGATATGCAAATTGTTTTTGAAAAAAGGAAAATCAGCAGACAGAAATTAAGACAAAAACCACAAATCCGAAAAAAAAAATCAAAGGATTTTAATACTTATAAAGGAAAACAGTAAACACTACTTCACTTGAAGTAAGAAGAAGTTTTATTTGAAATTTCAACAAGTTGAGCATAACCGCAGAATTGAGCTTGTCAGCAAAAGGTGCAAGAAAAGTTGTCTACGGGAAAAAAAGTCTTGTTATCGATTACAAGTCACTTGCTATCGCAAGTGCAATAAATTAAAAATTTGATATCAGCCTAAAACTCATAGTTTGTTAATAGTTCATGAAGTGAACCAAAACCTAATCCAGACCAGTTAAAGGGTAGTTTGAACTACCAGGGCTTCACCCTTATACCAGCAGTCGTGTTTATTCTTTATTGTATTAAGAGTACTGCAAGATAAATGCAAAATAAGTTACAGCTGATGTTTAAATAACAAATTGGCTCAGAACCTCAAAAAAAATTCAAGTTTGATAAATTTTCAAAAAATGCTAAAAATTAATTTTAAAAGGCCAAAGGGAGCCAATAAGAACTGCCACGACTATATATGCACAATTAGTTGTTTACTAGCACACCAATAGTTCGAAAAAGCTCGTTTAGAAAATAGAAAGCACCATTGTTTATTTGTTTATGATAATGCAAAAAATTTATTGACAAAATATTAGTTTTAAAAATCCACAGACATTTTTCTAGAAAAATCTTTGAAAAAGTGAAAAAAGTTCAATCATTTTCTAAATGTCGTCCCAAAATAGTGCAAACGACATCCCAAAGCAAAAAAAAATAGCTAATTTTTTCAGAGAAGAAATTTGTTTGTGCAGTGGAAACCAAGTAGGAAACCAAAACAAAAAAGAGCAAAAATTTGAATTTTCTTAACAATTGAAAATTTCCAATTTGCAAAAATTACTCAAAATGGCGTGACTTAGAGCACTGATCGGAATCATTTTCAGAAATTACGTTACCAAAGGCGCACATTCGTTCCTTGTCCTTTGAGTTAGGTACAAACAAAACTATTAAATGTTTCAATGATGTTGTTAGACAGAATGATGACGCGGAAATATTGTATCTTTCAATTTGACAGCGCTTGCTGGTTGCAAAAACAAACAAATTTAGGTTTGTTTTTCGGTTATTTTTCATTTTTGTTGCTTTTTTATTGGGAGTGAAGGGAGAAGCCAAGGAAACCTAAGCCTCATAATTGCCAATTTAACCAACCCAGAAAATTTTTTCTCATTGAGATTTTTTGGAAAAAAAAGAACAATTCTTCGATCAATTTTTTGCTCATTGCTCGAAGTTTTTGCTCTTTTTGCTTGTTTGTTCTAACTTTGCCTCAAAAGCAAAAACAATGGGAAGGCTTTTCCATAAACTCCAAAAATTTGGTTTCCTTGAGGTTCAAGTTTATAGTGAAAGGGATTTTAAATGATATTTCAATCGAGTTAATTTGTGCTAACAGGATTGGCTTGGAAAAAAAACAACAAAATCTAAAAATTTTTCCAGCTTCGACTATCGGAACGTATTACTTTAACTGCTAGCTTAAAGTACTTGTGGTCAATAAAAAGTGTTCCGATTTTCAAAGAAAGTGACGGAGTTCTTGTGCTCAAGATGTTTTTTCTCTCCAGACAAATTTTGACTGTTTAACTAACAATTTTGGCAGAATTTTTAAAATCATTTGAACGGCATTGTTACCCTGCGCTAAAATTCAAAAAGTTATTTTACCTGTAAACACTTTTCGTAAAAATACAGGGATTCAAACATTGCCTAATTAGCCAATTTTGGACAATAAATGCAAGATATATTTCGTGCTGTTAACTCGTAACTGGAGATTTAAACCGTATTTGAAATGAAATATTAAAATAAGCGAAAATTAAAAAATTATAGTCTATTCAAAATACGCGAATATGTCATTTTGCAATTTCACAGCGTGTGGGGGGATGAGTAAGGAAAGTATAATTTTTTCTGTATTTTTTTTTCATTTTTTTTTTTGCATTTTCCATCAATTTTTTCAAGTGAACACTATTTCATAGACCTTAAAAAGTAGTCAAAACATTTAAGATTTCACCCTGACAAAACGTCTTATTCTGTTTCCAAAATCATTTTGAGTCTTTCACATAAAGCAGTTTTTTTACAAGTCATTTAGGGATAGGCAGAAATTGTTGTTGCTGATCTGAAATGCACCTGCAAAAAGTGTTTTGAAAGCTTATTATTCCGACTTTCAGAATTGGTGCTTGGGGTGTTTTTTTTCTAGGTAAATTTCAACTTTTTAACTGGCCATTTTTGACGGGATTTTTCAACTTTTGAAAAGGTGCTTTTGTCCTGTGCTCAAACATAAAAATATTTCTTACGTGATCTTTTTTTGTAAAGTTATGGGGTTTACAGTTATGGGGGCTATGGGGGTGCGTTTGATACATTTCGCCCTATTAACGCCTTAGCGAGGACTGAATTATCCAAGTTGAATTGAGGCATGCTATTTGGACCATTTGACACTTTGCTTACCTACAAAACCTTTTACTTTAGGTATGTATTTTACATAGTGAGTTAGAA